CGACGCTTTCCAGCCGAAAGCGGTAGACTGTGTGCTATGAGGCAGGAAAAGGCGACGAGACTTCCACAGCGCTCGTCCAATCAATACGAAAACACTGTCTTTGCATCTCTCTGCGTGAATCAACAACGCCTAAAACGCCACCCATCACGGTAGATAGCACTGCAGAGAGCCTATCAAAGACAGATGCCGCCTCGAGGACAGTTGAACATGGTGTGTTGGAGCAAGGGGATGTCGGACGTAAGGACTTACAGGCACCATTCTCCAGTGTTAAAAGCCTTTCCTCGAAACACCCCATGACTTGCTCTATTTGCATATGCTTGTTGGATGTGGAAGATTAGCATCTGAAGGTCATTTCATCACATTAGCTCCGCACCACCTGCATCTATCCCGCCCCATCGGCGACGACTTCCTAATTATACAGTGGTGAGAGTCCTCAATGCACATCAGCACATCAGACAATTCATGTACTTCCTAAGTACTCACTCGCCTTGCCCATGATGCAGGCTGCCTCACGTTACCTAAAGGACGCATGCTTGACCTAGTCGTCACAATCTCCAGTTACTCAAATCAAAACGGACGCGCAACCAACCGCACAAATGACTACTAGTTTGTGTCCAACCAACATCTTTCTAGTTCCAAATTGGAGATTGGTGAGTTTAGTGTGCATTACGAACACGCTGTGACTTCTCCGTTGAAAGAATCACGTCTTCCACGTATAACGATGTCTATATAAAGGGCATCCTTCGCGCAATACTGAGAGACTTTGATTTACACTGCTCCTCTGACTTGAGGTCACGAAAAAGCTGTTTCTCCAATCAAATAAATTTTTCATACAATCTACACACCAGCTGGCATTCCGTGCACGAGCAGGATATAGACCGCACGCGTCTTATCGACAACGTCCTTAATACAAGATCACGAGAATATCCAACACCACAATTCAACATGTGTCTTTGGTATGCGACTGCCTGGGCATGCGGTTACATAGAGCCCCCAGAGAGGTGGTTGGCTGTTCGTGCTGGCCATCTGGAAGTTTGCCCCAGGCCAGCCGCACCGACTAATTATAACGTCCTTACGAATATGTGCCCCTACCCGGACCATCAGCAGTATCATACAAAAAAGTAAAGCAATGTTGGTAAGGCAATTCTCGTATATATCTCTTTCTTATTCCTCCGTTAGTCAGGAGTTCAAGCTGATCACAGAACATGGCGAACAGACCTTCTTGAATCAAAACCGAAGTCTCGACAGCTCCGTGGCACACCACTCGTACTTCAGTATACCTCATAGAGGTCTTGATCATTTCTACGTACCTAGGTATCGCGATAGGTAGTTGGTGTGAGCGGCGAGGGTGGGGCCTGGTGGCATGTCTTACAAACTGCGGTCGCTGTTGGTCTGACTTGGAGGAGGCCTGGGCCAACAGTTCGGTTTTATGAGTAGGCTCATACGTTCATTTGTTGAACCCGTTGCATCAAAGGAATCTGTACGACAGTTATATGGGTGGATTGTGTTCATTTCGATTTATTGTAGAGTGTTCTTCTCTATTCAGCTGCGCGGATCTTGTTATCACTCCTTTTAACAAGGCATACAAATCAATTGTTCAAGCAAAGCCCCATTCTTCGCCCTTGATTCTTTTCCCAAATTCATATGAATGCTTCAATCCAGATTTGGACTCGCAGATAGTGTCTGCGTCCGCCGCGATTCAATTGTGGTTACAGATCCCACAAGTGATTACCGACCAACTTCACTCAGCCAATATCGGATAGGCTGAATCCCTCAGCCTAGATGTCCTCAATATGTCCAATGATCGGTTCCAACCTGCAAGTGATATCACGGCCCGCAATTAGTCGAGCTGTACTAATGATTCAAAGTACGGCGTGGATGGCCACGCTGGGGGCGGCCCGCCAACACCAACAAGGTAGCGTAACTCGAAGCCTCACTGTGACCCGGACAAGGGTTGGCAGCCTTAGACCGTGACTTAAGTAAATCCTAGCTCTTTATTGTCACACTGAAGCACTTGGAGAGTGGATAGTCGTTCGAGGTCCCAAGTCGTAAAGACACTAGGCGAAAGACATAGCGTAAGTTATCTCCCCCTTTCGTCACTTATTCAGGGTCAGATGCATGTTAAAGCTGCTTTGTTGAGGGAGAACTTTCATTAGCATTACTGATAGCTAACACCCCATGCAAGTCAGTTGCTGTGTGCATTACGTGTGCTGGGTTTCCCCATAAGGCGGAAGTCTGTCCCCCCCTGAAAATTAGATCACATACGGGACTATCCCTAGACGGGCCGCATTGACATGGACTTCCCTGTCCCTGAAAGAGACGAAATATCACTGAGACAGTTCCATTTCTTCAAGCTCGAGATAAATGTTTGTGAGAAAATGAAAGAGGCTCTGTCTAAACGACCAATTAATGCGATTAACTCGCATGATGGGCTCATCACATGACTGTAGCTCCTAACGGCAGAGTCCAAGCCTTCACTGAGTCCTCCAGAAACAACAAGCGGCCGTCCTACTATAGGGCTACCAACCTCAGTCGTGTAGGTGATGCGGTTGGGGAGGAGGATCACAGATGAAGACGACTTGTATCTGCCATCTTCAGCCCGGACAACCCGGAGCATCGAAACCTGTATGAGCTAGACACTGCGGGATTCCTTCAAGGCAACACAAATCTCGTCTAACTTACTAGATTGTGACGAGATAGCTCTTTCTGCAGATACTACCACCGATGCCGTATCCAGGCAGGTACCTACATTAGGATCCTGACTTCAACATTACTTACCGGCCAGTTTTGCCTAGAGTAGCCCCCTGTTGCTCTCTCGGCTGCGCTTCCACGATGTGATGTTGAAATAACAAGAAATGCCAACATGCATAAGCTATGTCACGGTGTACGAGACTGATGCAGGTAACCTTGTGCGCCCCAAGAAGACAGCTGTCAACCCATGCCCCATCTCGTTGACACAAGGAGAGTAGCAACGAGAGACATAGTCGCCAGGCCCCTTTTGGACTGAGCCCGGGCTCGGCAGGCAAGATGTACGAGGGTGGTGTCCAACGACGGCTGCATTGATCCTGCAATTGGCCGTTTGACGAAGTTCGATAACGCCTAGATCACGCCGTTCATGCCCAAGAGCGACATAACACAACGTCGTATTGTTGGCGTAGGGTGGTAAAAGCCGCAAAGAAGGTTAAACATGTGTACTACAAACGCCGCTTCTGCGGATGTCTGTGTCCACATGCCTAGCCCTGTTCGGTTGGAGTAGTCGAAATACGTCAAGATGAACGCCATGCGTCGATTGCCTTCCTTGTGCAGCGGGATAGCCGCGGTGAGGCATGAACATCATTCACCCCGACGATGATCCACCGAGAACACCATCAGTGAAGCTACTTAGTTGCCAACAGTTAAGCCAAGATATCAGGATTGAAATGGCCCAACTCTGTCACCTTGTTTCTCTCTTTTTCGGCCCCTATCCAGGTATCAAGGCTTTCACACCATCGCAACCAGGCGAATCACTTCTCCGTCAACGGAAGATAGCCAGTGCGCGCCCGTTGATCCCGTGCATCTTAGTGGCACAGGTTATCAGAGATGCCTCTAGCTGAACATGTCGTCGACCACGGAGTTTAGCAAGGGGAAGGAAAAGGGCTTAGTGAAAGGGGGGCCGCGGCCCTGGCGCACGGCAAGCATCCCGCCCACACACGCCAGGGTGCAGATCGCGGGCATCACAGCCGGGCGGCTAATCGCAGGGATAACCTCCAATGGGGCCGCCGCACACGGGCAGGGCTCAACGCCTCTTCGCACGAACAGAGTATCGCGCCTGTTCGAAGAGCGAGCGTTGCGTGTGACTTCAAAGAACTCGTTAATGCAGGCCACGCTGACTAGTGAGTCCCATTACCACATCCCAACTGCATCTGCAAATGTCTTGTTCCCTGCCTGCCTGGACCTCGTCAAAAGGGCCGGGCGGATGCGCTTCTCCTACAGAGTCACCAAGTAGCACAGCCATCCGGCAGGCAGGCAGGCAGGCAGGCAGCTGCGGCGAGATTCGTGATCGCGGTTTTGAAGTGTTGGTGGCCGCATCAAGGCCGCCCCCAATGCGGCCACCTCTGCCGAGCTCGAGGGGTACCAACTGCCATTGCAAGCCGGCCGTATGGCTTCATACGGTCATCGTGAGCGGCTCAGGCAATTCGCCCGTATACGTTAGGCTGAATTACGAGGCATAGCAGGTCGACGCGTTGAACTAGCATCTTCCAAGTCATGATGTTTCCCACTAGGCTATTGGACTGCTGCCGTTTAACTCATTTGGTACTTCAATTATACCTAGAACCAGATCTAAGCCTTCTTCAAGGGTGACCACCATGTACTCAAGACATATTTGTACATCAAAATACATGTCCAAGCCAGAACTGCGTTACGCCTCCTTTTTTTCTACCTCTTTCCCCTTTTACGATGTTTAGGCAGGTAGGTAAAGAAACCCACTTGGGTCTCGTACTCGTAGAGTCTGGAGAAACACGACAGGGACACGGCGAAATCCGGAAACGAAAGGCATATTGCATCACCATGAACGAATAAGTTGGTCTCTTCTCTTACAAATTAACCACATTTCATTCTGGTTCTGCGATGGCTCCATTGCCGTACTGCATCGGTGTAACTGTCAACTGTCCACCAAACCAATGCCCCTCATGCTGCTGCTAGCTTCGCTAATTGTACAAAATCAGTTTCTCTGATCCTTTAACTTTTTGTCTTTTTGGGTTTTCTTTTCGTTTCTCCTTGTCGTCTAGTCCTGGATATGCTGTATCTATAAACGCGCAGAGCTCGTTCCATGATATCAGAAATAAGAAAGAAGGCAATTGTTGACAACCTGTGCCTCGTGCATTATTCAAATCATCCGCGAGATCAATCGTTTCTAGGAGAAGTTGGGGAACTGTGAATGGTCAGACAATGCGTGGAATCTCAAAATCTTCGTAACTTACTATTGGTCGTCCTGGCCTCCCACGGCTCGTCCAGGCGTTCTAGGCGAGAACGATGGCGACTGCAAATCTGTTAGTCATGACTTCATTATACCTCAAGGTAGTTCATACCGTAGGAGAATAGCCTGGGCTGGTGGGTGATTGCACCTGCCCAGGGGATCGCTGGAAGGTCGGACTCGTAGGAGAGTATGCCTCTGGCGATGTTGGAGACCAATTTGGAGAAGCCGGCGAGTAAGATGGGGAAGTCGCGTTGAAGTTCGGTGACGCCGGGCTGTAGTTCGGACTGGCTGGAGAATAGTTCGGAGAAGTAGGCGAGTTGTACTGGTTGGGCGACGTAGGAGAGTAGTTCTTGCCAGCAGTCGGCGAGGCCGGAGAGTAATTCGGTGACGTTGGGCTGTAATTGGGGCTAGCTGGGCTCGTTGGCCGAATATTTGGTGACGTTGGCGAGAATGAGGGAGACACAGGTGTGAACTGAGGTGAAGATGCATATCGTCCACCATCAATGAGCGGCGACGACGGCGAGTAACCCCCAGAAGGTGAGACCGGTGAATAACCGCCGTATCCACTGCTAAATGGCGAAGTGGGCGAAGAGCTGAACGGACTTGTGGGCCGGGGGCTTGCGCCTGAGTAGGGATTGACCGTACCCATTCCAAAACCACCACCATATTCCGTGGCAAATCCAGCCGGAGTGTCTGAACCAGCACCAACAATTGGCGAGAAGTTGCCCAATGCAGGTGAGCTGATACCGAGATAACCATCAGCCATCGGCGATCCGGTATCGTACGGGGTGGCCGCACCCTCGATGTGACCCCCTTTGCCTGTGACACCAGAAACATTGTTGGCACGCATGTCATCCGACATGAGAGTGTCGAGCATCGCCGGATCAAGTTGCACCTCAAAGTGACCTGTTCCCATTGGTGCAAGCTGTCCCAGCATCACATTCTCGGATATACCGCGGCAGTCATCCAGTTCACCAGTGGCCGCAGCCTCCAGCAGAATCTCGACTGTTTCCTCGAAGGAGCAACGCATCAGAGCACCCGTGTCAGCGCGGTTGATACCATGTCGAGTGACAGCAGCGATACTTCCCCTGTAAGTCATGACATCGACCAGAAGCGCCAGATGGCGATGGTTGACGTAAGAACCGTCGAAGGCCAAAACTAGAGTCAACTCGCGCAGAAGTGCCGTTCTAGCAGCTTCGATACCAAAAACATCGACAACCTGGTGCAGCTGATTGGTGTAAGTGCGTGTTGGATCCACACCTTCCACAGCAAGAACCTGACGAAGAGCAGTGCCCTGAGTATCCAAGTACCACTCGTCGAACATTGTATCGTTCTTTGCAGCCTTGAGCGAACCATCAGGCATCTCTAAAAGCTTAGTCTCCTTGTTCAGGAAAGCTCGTTCAATGCCAGGCACTCCGCGGAGGGTCAGCTTGTCAAGCAGATGAGTCTCGAGACGCTTGAGCATAACATCGTCTTCGATACGTCTGTTGCTGTCTTCATCCTTGTCATCGTCCGTACGAAGTGGTCGAATACGCAACACCTGCTCATCAGCGTTGTTATCACTGAAAATGACGGCCAGATCGCTGGAATAATCCTCCTTGATACGCGAGGCAACGTCCTCAACAGTGAGACCCTTGTCGAGCATCTTTTGACGATCCAATGTGATACGTAGCAGCCATCGGGATTGTTGATCCGTATTGTCAACGGCTTCCGAATCAGGAATGAGGAAGTATGATTCGACGATGTCAATATCGGCCTCAATGTTGGTCGATCTGATGTCGGGATCGTAGTAGATCTCTGTCATGGCAGTGACTGATCGAAGATTGGTATGCTCGACAGCGCTTCGCAAGACCTTGGCAGCCTCCTGTGTAGCGTCTTCTGTATCAAGGTAAACCACCATGCCAGGAGTCTTGATGTCGCTAGCGACGTTGAGAATTTCCTTGAGACGCGGCACACCGAGCGTCACGTTCTTGGACGACACACCAGCAAAGTGGAAGGTGTTCAATGTCATCTGTGTTGCAGGCTCTCCAATGGATTGGGCAGCAAGCACTCCAACCATTTCACCAGGGTTGACAAAAGACCGTGCCCAACGACTCTCGAACTCTCCAAGGAGATGGTCGAAAGCGAGGCGGTTGAGGCGTTGATGAACCGCGAGACGCTTGTATGCAAGACGTGACCTTAGTTGAGCCTTGTACAGGATGGTGGAATTATAGTCAGCCTCCTTGGAGATCGGATCGTCACCACGGACGACTGCCATTCGGTCTAGCAGGCCTTGAACAGCTGGGATGACATCTTGAGGTCGTAGATCGCTGCGCTGCGTATCATCGATCTTGAATAGCTTCTTGGCGCTGTCAATGATACGCACGATGTTGAGAGGAAGCTGCATCATTTCCTCGTCCTTCTTCCTGGAGTTGATATCCCGAACAAGCTTGCGGTCCTCCAATAGATGCTCGTACTCTGCATCGAGGAGCTCTTGCGCAACGGGATCACCAGATATCTCATTTGCATACTCCAGCGCTTCGAAGGCAGCTGGTCGCGACTCATCCATGACATCAAGTTTGTATCGGTCCGCAAAAGCAGCATTCGACATGTTGAGGTGATCCACTCTCTGCTTTTCAATGTGCATACCGTCTAGACCGTCCTCACCGTACAGGAATTGAATGATATCGTTGAGAGAGTTCCGAACGGTGCCATCGTACTTAGCACTGACATCCTCCAGAGCTTTGACAAGACGACGCTGAATGTATCCAGTTTCAGCAGTCTTAACGGCTGTATCAATCAGACCTTCACGACCAGCCATGGCGTGGAAGAAGAATTCCGAGGGTGTCAAGCCACGAAGGTAAGAGTTCTCGACGAAGCCACGGGCCTCCGGAGAATAGTCGTCCTTGGTGAAATGCGGAAGTGTTCGATACTTAAATCCGAACGGAATACGCTTACCCTCGACGATCTGTTGACCGACAAGTGCAGACATCTGAGAAATGTTGATAGAAGAGCCCTTGGAACCAGAACGGGCCATGGTGACGGCGTTGTTCAAGTCCTTCAGACCTTTCTCAGTGGTTGTACCAGCCTTGTCACGAGCGGTGTTGAGTGCCTTGGAAACCTTGTTCTCAAAGGTTTCTCGAACGTTCATACCAGGCAAGGCTTCAAGCTTATTGGCCGTTGCCAAGGCAGTCAGCTCTCTGACCTCCTCCTTTTGGTCATCAATGTGTACTTGGACCTTCTCAATGGTCTTTTTATCTGGAATCGTATCACCGATACCAATGCTGAAACCGTTGTGGAGAAGCCAATAGTTGACAACACGTTGGCATGAATTGAGGAAGTTCATGGCAGCTGTAGAACCAAGCTCGTTGTATACGATGTGAATAATACCACCTCCTGTAGCACCGACAATCTTCTTGGAGAGCAAGCCGTACATGAGCTCACCGGTCTGAATCAGAACACCGTCATCCCTCAAAGGCGCGTCCTCCTTGGTGTCGTTGCCAGAGTGCAAGCTAACCTCTTTAGGGATGACCATGCTGATAATCTGTTTACCAGTCCATCGAGGTCGTGGTTTGAGAATAGCAGGGACGGGAATAATGCCATCCCAGCCAGGGACCCAGAGCATGGCATTCATGACTTGCTCCTTGGTGAGAAGAACATCTCGGCGGCAGAGCTTGTAGACACCAGCCAAAGTATCCTGGACAATGCCCATCAATGGACCGTTTCGCTGAGGCGAGACGATGTTGAGAGGCACCATGCAAAGATTCATGACCTCAGCTCGAGTTTCCTCAGTTTGAGGGACGTGAAGATTCATTTCGTCACCATCGAAATCGGCGTTGTAAGGCGAGGTGACTGAAAGGTTCAATCGGAACGTGGAATAAGGCATGACACGCACTCTGTGACCCATCATGGACTCCTTGTGCAGCGAAGGCTGACGATTGAAGATGATGAAATCACCATCAATAAGATGACGCTCGACCTTCCAACCATACTCCAACGAGATTTGACCGGCACGTCGATGATGGCGAAGATCAATTCTGGTTCCGTCTGACCGGATGACATACTTCGCACCAGGATGCTCATTAGGCCCATTCTGGACGAGTTGATGCAATCGGCCAATATTGTATGGTGTGACGGTTTCCGGATAGGTCAGTGTGCGCGCAATGCTTCGCGGCACGCCTACCTCGTCGAGAGAGATGTTGGCATCACCTGTGATGACAGTACGTGCGGAGAAATCCACTCGCTTACCCATCAAGTTACCACGAAGACGACCTTCTTTACCCTTGAGACGAGCTCGAATAGCCTTGACAGGACGGCCGCTCTTCTGCAGAGCGCGAGGCTGACCAGCGATATCATTGTCCATGTACGTGGCAACATGATATTGAAGAAGTTGCTCAAAATCTTGGGCGATATGGGCTGGAGAGCCTTCCTGCATGGCCTGTTTGACGTTTCCATTGGCGCGAATGATGTCACCAAGCTTGAAAGTCAAGTCATCCTCGTTTCGCATACCTTGGCCAGTACCGTCCATGGAGATACTGGGTCGGACAGGCGGTGGCGGAACAGGAAGGACGGTGACGATCATCCACTCGGGACGAGCGTAGTCTTTGTTCAAGCCCATGTCTGAAAGGTCAGAGTCGCTGATCCGACGGAGAATGTTGTGCGCCTGTTCGGCTGTAATGACTTTCTTCTCCTTGACCTTGCCACCCTCTTCCTGTGGAACTTCGTACGCCGCGAAGAGGTTGAGTGCCGTATGTCGGACAGCAGGCTGAATATTACCGCAACCGCCATGGTTAAATGCGGGGGCCTTAGGCTTGCCTTCGGGATTGAACTCGTCATCCTCCTGCTTCACCTCGTTCTCACAGCGCTTCTTCTTCTTGCACGCCTCCCAGACGCGCTGGAATCGGACTTTTGGATCTCTCGTCATCACCGCGGCAGCGAACTCGGGGTCGCTCTAGTGAGGAGATTAGCAGCAAGAAACGGCAAAAGCGTAATTAGTGTAGACAAACCCTGTCAGCCAGCACCTTGCTGCAGTTGTGGCAAACCATCTCAAGGATCTTCTTTGTCTTCTTGATGAAGCCAGGGTGGTAGACAGGTTTGGCCAACTCGATGTGACCGAAATGACCAGGACACTCGGACATGTTCTCTGTGCACGTCTTGCACTTGAACTGACGATCAACAGAACCTAGGAGAGGATCATTGAGACCACCGTCGCGTGGCTTCATTCGGCTCTCATCCATCGTCTCGGGGTACAAGATATGCGCCACACTCATGTTCTTGATCTCCTCAGGCGACAGGAGACCGAACTGGATCTCCTGAATCGTCTTCAGAGGCGCACTAGAGTGCGTGAAGTAGAGATTCGCCATGTTGTCGGATTGTTCTCGATGGTCGAACGTTAGATGTATGGCGGGGTGAGATCACGGTGAGAAGTGATCGATCAAGGGAAAGTATGCGGAAGCTCCCTTCGCGAAAACTCTTCTCGATGACCGAAATAATACAGGTGCGCAGTCTGAGTCCAGAGGAAGACGCGCGGCGATGGAAAAACGGACAGCGATGAGCGAGGTGATGAGAAAACCTGACGTCCTCCGCGCTCAACCCAGGCCAAAGGCCCCGACGGAGCGACGATTTCAGAAGGTCGCCTCCCCCAGCGTCGCGACCACCTGGAACACGGGGAAAAATCGAGAATCGCAGTGATATTGTCGAGATCTCGAGTCGGAAAGGCGCTGGAGGTGGATGCGCGGGTTCCGACGCGCTTTGCGATGATCGTCGAAGTCGTGAGATGAGGTTGTGTGGTGTTTGAAAAAAGAGCACGACAGCCCCCGACTGCCAGGCTGTAAAATGGCCTGGCGCCACCCTCCTCCTCCTGTGAGCTAACCCCGATTAGGACGAGCCTCAAGTTGAGCACCCCTGGAGACCTCTACGGTACGTGTCACCCTTCTCAGCTATTGGTTAAGGCCGTACCAAAATCAGACTAAAGCAAGTACCTTTTTCGTACTGAATGCACAAAGGAGCTTCCCCCAGCCCGCCCCATCTTTTTTCGTTCCGGTCTGACTCCTCCCTTCCATTCAAACAAAGCCAGGCTGACTACAACCACACTCTGGATATGCGCCATTCCAGCCAACCAAACGCTCATTGTTGTGTACTTGGTGGGATGCATTGGTGCGGTGTAAAGTGTAAGAAACAATGGGGATATCACTGGCTTTTATTATTTGACCGAATGTTTGCGGACTATCAAATGACTCATTTCCTTTTGTTCCGACCCCTACCAGTCGTCTTCTTGCCAACGGCCTTCTCTTCCGTGCCTGTGGCATCACCATCCGCATCACCGTCTGCGCCGGGAGTTCTCCTTCGCATGGTGCCCGTCGAGACCGTGACAAACTCCTCCTCGCTATCTGACTCACCCAGGTTGAACAGGATCGGCATCCGAAATCCCTGGTCATCGCCAACCTGATCTATTGTCAAGACATCGATGTCCTCGTCCTCCTGATCTAGCCGCCGCTTGTGTATCTCTTCCTGCGGGTGGATGTCGAACTCGTCTTCGCGCTCCACATACTCGACATTCTCCTCTACCTCTACAAAGTCTGGAGCCAGGGCAGACCAACGTTGCGGGCTGGTGACTGACCATATGTTAATCCGGCCCGTCTCCAGGCCGCACGCTGCCAGTAACGCCCGGTGCGGATGCCACTCTATGACTCCCTGCTCTTCCTTCGGCCCTTCCAACATGCGTACTAAACTCCCGTGATTCCTCTCCCATATGTAAAGCTCGTGGTTATTGTATGTAGACGCCGAGACATATTCGCCCGTTGAGCTGAATGTTACGTGGTTCCAGGACAGTCTGTTTACGACATCCTGGAACTTGTGTTCAATCGGTAGTTGAATCGTGTCCGGGTCCAAATCCTCCGCTGAGAGGTTTGGGACGTGGAAAGTTCTGATGATCCTGTCTTGCGCATTGACGAGTAGCTCTCTTCCCGACCCAGTGAGGCGTAAAGTCGTAACGACTCCGTTGCAGATCTTCTCTGAGAATATGATCTCATGTGTCTTCGCGTCGATGATGTTTAACTTGCCCTTGCTAGTGCCAGCAAGTATATGGTCGCCCGTAGCCGTATAGATAGTGACTGTCGTCATCTGCTTCGCGTCTTCCTTCGCCTGTTTCTCTCGTAGGGCTGCATTGTCGTCTGTGTTGGTGCGCTTTGGCGCTGAAGGGAGGATATGCTTAACATCGATCGGTTCGGAGATGTCGACGAGGAGTGGTTGCTCTTCGAAGAGGGAAACAACGAATTGGTGGCTAAACTTGATCAGCGACGCCATGAATAGTTTGTCAGTGGCCACGCAAACTCACTGGTTCCATGGGTGAAGCTCCGCAATGTAGACGGGAGCGCGAAATCGCACCTCACGATACCTTGTACCATCTTGTAGATCCCACAGTATTGCTTTCCATCCCTGGCAAGCAGAGAGTAGGTACCGACCGCATCTTGACCAGCTCAGCGAAGAGATGCTCTTGGAATGACCGCGTAGCTTGCGCGCAACGCCCATCGTGTCCAGGTCCCAGATGACGACGGTGCCATCAACGCGACCGGAGGCGAGGTAGTCGCCCTTGCGGTTGAAGCGCAGACATGTCGAATGCCCTGATCTGATCGTATTCGTTATGTTCTCGGGATAGTCCTGCAGAAGGTAGTCATCCGACAGTAGCAAGTTCATCCTTGCGCATTCAGTCGCACGCTTGCGAGGTGCCGGCGTAATGGCGGAGGAGTGTAATCATCTATCTCCTAAGCATCATGATCTCGAAAAGCTAGCCTACCAGAATTCACATAAGCTTCTGAAATGCGGTCGTTCCTGGCAATCTCAACTAAGCCGTGAAATGGATGAGATTTAGGGCGATCTGGGCTCCCTGAACATGCAAAGTGACGTGCTATTTTTTCTTAGGTTTAGCGGACCCCGCGCTATGCAGGGAGCGGGACGGGACTTGGTAGAAAGATCCCATACCGTGTACGGACCACCAAGAATTGCCAGTGTACCGCTGTTTAGAGGCTGAATTTTACAACCATACAACCGGACAAGAACTGAGACGTATGAGTATTCGACGTCAACGCCCCGTAATTGACATACAACCGCCGAGGCTATATGCGAGACTAGCAACCTTTTGCTAGAAAAAGTCCAAGTTGATTTCTCGTAGCTCGACACAGGAACCAGAATGGCAAACTCGAAGTAGGCATAGACTGCGTCCCTCGATTACAGTTTCCTGACTCACCCTTGAAAAGATGGGAATACGTGAAACAATTCGAACAACCTGACAAGCTACTTCAGAACACCTGGATTGTAGTGAGAATAGATGGGAGGGGATTTACGAAGTCAGACAAATCTCATTTCTAACGTTAGAATCAAAGAGCAAGAAACTGACTACCTAGGTTCGCGAATAAATACGGCTGGGAGAAGCCCAATGATAGGAGGGCACTGGATCTGATGAATGCCGCCGCGAAGGCTGTCATGACAGAGATACCTGAGATCACCGTTGCTTATGGAATCAGTGACGAGTACAGGTATGAGTCTCAAAATGGTTGAATCACTTTTGGGGTCTTACAAAGGGACAGCTTTGTCTTTCACAAGACATGTACTCTGTTCGAGAGACGATCAAGGTCAGTATCTCACAAGAAAGTGCGTTTGATATGGACCATCGTACTCACAATGGCACAGCAAGCTAGTAACTACGGTGGTGTCGACATTTACATCGTACTATATCTACCTGTGGTCGACGTTTTTCCCAGATCTACCACTCTCTCCTCCCTTGCCAAGCTTTGATGGGCGAGCTGTGTGCTATCCTGCTGTTTCCAATTTGCGCGATTACATGAGTTGGAGGCAAGCAGATTGTAAGCAAACCCTCATTTCATGCGTGATTATGAAGGCGTGATTAATCCGTATTCTAGGTCATATCAACAATCTTTATAATACGGTTTTCTGGGCGCTGATCCAACAGGGAGGCTTGGATAATAAAGAAGCTGAGAAGACTCTCCTGGCACGAGTCCCTCTTCCCATTTAGCCTGACCAAATGCTGACAATGGAGGAAGGGGACACTTTCCAGCGACAAGAACGAGATTCTCTTCTCAAGGTTCAAGATTAACTACAACAACGAGGCGGAGATCTACAAGAAGGGCAGCACCATATTCCGAGACGTAAGTCATCCATATGCCCCTTTACAACAGCTACTTATGTGCTCCAAAGTATGAGCTGGTAGAGCCAGGCAGTCATCAAGCCGCAGAGGATGCAGAGAATATTGCTGAGCCCATTCAACAATCAAAGTCACAAGCGGAGAAGGAAAAGAAGAAGCGAGCCAAGGCCAGAATCTTGATCGAGCATCTGGATATCATTAAGGACGAATTTTGGGATAGGCGGCCGTGGCTGCTGTCCAACAAACCAGGAAAAATTCCCAAAGAGACATGAGTAATTGAACTCTCGCTCCTGGTGAGAGTCACTCGAGGCTACGTTGAGCTGAGTTATCTTGACGACGGTGACGTTTGGGAACTACTCGTTGTTAGGTGTTGAGAGAAAGAAGCAACTAAAAGCATAATGATACCAAACACCACCCCAAAGGTCAAGGAGATAACACAATCTCAGGGATGAAGGAAGAGACACCTTGCGTACCGAGCGTACCTAGGTAGATAGCTAGCCATCTCCGCGCGCGTGCTGGTGTTGCCTTAACCTTAGTCATGCTTCGAGACCGCGAACGAGGCCGCTGTTTGGTTAGCTTCTCAACACTATACTTAGTTAGTGGAGGTGGAAGTAGAAGGTGTTAGACGCCGAAAGAACGATAAGAGTGACCTAAGCACAGCCGCTAAGAGGCTCGGCACCATCGTCTGTCTCTGTTTGCTGTGGCGTTGCCTGTGATCCATGTGCAAACTGTAATAGCTCATTGATCTGGCCTTTCCATCAACCACAAGATCAAAGATAGAGATATCGCCTAATCACTTTCCTAAGACTCGGCTTGCCTCATCAAAATCCCAAACAACTCCGTCAGCAAGCGACACAGGCTCGCCGCGCTCTCTGTGCACTTACTTACAGTAGCCACAGCATACACATACATAGTGGGGTACAGCTTGATTGGCCCCTCATACAGCTCGTTGGTCGATTCTCCCGACCTTCCCTAACACTTATCGCTGCACGTCGCATTCACATCATTCTTCCTTCCTCCTCGTCCTCTTCCTCCTCCTCCAACCACCTGCACTCTCTCCCCCGTCTCAAGCTCCTCGCCACCTCTCTAGCCTTAAGCTTGAACTCGACCTGACAGGGGACTGCTCGTCCAAGCTTGAGAGCTTTTGACCGGTGCTCTCCGAGGCCAGCCACAGAGAGCGTTTATCAATTGCTGCATCTGTCGCCACCCAGACTCTCATCGACGCCATGGCCGACAACGCGGAAGGTAGCGGCGATCCTCAGATCACCTTCAAGGTCAAGACTTCAGGCGATGGGAACCATACCATCACCATGGCAGAGACCGCCACGGTCTTGGACCTCAAGACTAAGCTTGCCGGCACTGACTACGAGAATATTCCGGCCGAGAGGCAGCGCCTGATCTACTCAGGCCGAGTAATGAAGAACGACGACACTCTGGCAACCTACAAGATCAAAGCCGGAAACACAATCCACATGGTGAAGAGCGCTGCGAGCAATCCGGCGCCGGCTCCCAGTGCAGCATCTGCCCCTCCCCCCCAGGCTATCCCCAGCAACATGGCCGCAGGCACCTCCGCGAATAACCTTCTAGCTGGTCTGACTGGCGCACGTTTTGCTGGGCATGCCAACCTTCCGGGGCGAGAGATGTTTGGTGCTGACGGTGGTGTATGTACAAAACCCTCTTGCACGTCCTCACGCCGCTTGCTAACAAATGCTTTTAGATGGGTGCCCCGCCAAGCGAAGAGCAAATGGCCGACATGCTTTCCAACCCGGCTATTGCGCAGACCATGAACGAGGCTCTGAACAATCCGCAGATAGTCGACTTCATGATCCAGCAAAACCCCATGCTGAGGAACATGCCGAATGCAAGGGAGATGATCCAGTCACCATATTTCCGCCAGATGATTACCAATCCGGAGGCTCTTCGTATGGCGGCACAGATGCGCCGAATGATGGGAGGTAATCAAGGCGCAGGCGATGCTTTCCCGGCTCCTGGAGCAACCGATTCGACACCAACCGGCGCGCCAGCCGCAGGAGGTGAAGCCGGTAACAATGCGCAAAACCCAATGCAGTTCCCAAATCTGTTCGCCAATCCGGGAATGTTCGGAGCGCCTGGTGGTGCGCCTGGCAGCCCGAACTCAAACCCCTTCATGGCTCTCTTCAACCCATTCGGAATGCCGGCCCAGACAGGAGCGACACCTACAACGTCTCCTCCTCCTGCCGGACAAACACCGTCGACGGAAGGTACAGCACAGCGAGATGCTGGCGCAGCAGCTCATACCACTGGCTCTACAAGCCCACCTCCAGCTGGTGGGGCGAATGCAGCAGCGAACCCTTTTGCCAGCCTGTTCGGACCTCCGCCAACCCAAGGAGGTGCGAATGCCAACAACAACCCTTTCGGCCTACCTCCTCTGTCCCCTGAGATGATGCAACAATTCATGCAGATGATGGGTGGTGCTGGTGGAGGTGGTGCGGGAGGTTTTGGCGCGGGAGGCTTTGGCTCCCCGACCCCGGCCTCACCTCCAGATAATCGTCCTCCAGAGGAGCGTTATGCTGATCAGCTTCGTCAACTGAACGAGATGGGATTCTATGACTTTGATAGGAATGTGGCAGCATTGCGACGGAGCGGTGGAAGCGTGCAAGGGGCTATTGAGCATCTTCTGAGCGGCTGAAGGGTTCGAAGGAAACAAACCATCTCACTTCTCTCAAGAGCTGCGGGAAAAGATGTTTGGGACCGAGATATCATGCCGTGGCTATAGTTGTGTTGGTGGAGGTGGAGCAAAGTAGTGAGCCGAATGATGGGTACTACACATAAGGGTTACGCTCAAGCAGCCGGAAGGCTCTCCAGAGGGCTAGGACAGGGATAATTAGTGTTCCGTGTCTTTCAGAAGCGACTTATAGCATGATCAGCCTTAGATTGTCTGGTCGAGGTAGGAATAAGACGATTGACGAGATCACAACTGAGCCCACACATTAAGTAATAACTAGGAAGTTCATGTACTTCTACAGCAATTCAAAAAGGACTGAAATTTCTCAGTCGCTTGACAGACTCATGTCTTGCATCATGTCCAAATATATGAGTTTGAGTGGTAGACTTGCATTCCAGGAGGCGGTCGACGTTGGCCAATAATATTAGCGTACCAGACCGCAACTCAATTTCTTAGCTTTCCGGCTCATGATGCTGGTAGTACTTCATTCACTCATTTTCACCACCGCGACTCACAAAGACTGCTTCTCACGAGCCTGAGGCAATGTCAAAATGATGCAGCCAGCATATCAGCTGAGGCAATCCAAAGACGAGGCTCGATGAGGTGATCAAACCCTCCAGGTGATAAGATAATTTGGTCAAGATGATTCAGGGCATATTCTATGCAAGATTCCTGCCACAGGAAGGTAGGAATACCCCAAATTTCCTTGCAATGAAACCATGGACTACCGAAACTCTGCAATTGAGTCCGAGTTCTCGAATTTTCCTTGTCTGAAATCGCCCGGTTTAACACATGTACTAGGGACCAGGATCGTTGCCCAAAGCCCTCCTGGCTGCATCGTCCCAGTAGACGGCGTGGATAAGCCGTGCCTCTTCGACTTCAACGTGCTGCAAGAATACATCATTCCGCGCAAGGCCTTTTACAACCGCTACATCACAGTCAATGATCCGGAGGACAAGTACACCGTGCTAGGCTTCCCGGTCTCCATTCCCCATCACAAGTATCAGCGCAATGAGTTTCTCTTCAATTTTGGCCTGGTCGTCGAGTCCGATGTCGACCAAATTCCCTATGAACGCGTGGTCCGGCGGCTTGCTGTCACGTTTGCCGAGATGGAGAAGCAAAACGAGTATCTCAGCCAGGACCAGCGCAATATGAACAATGAAGCAAGACGGCCGATTGAGTCGCTGCTCGAGATCATCAAGGAGGATCTCAATAACTATGGAGAATGCATGATCCCCGTTGGTATGCTTCCCTTCCTTTCAGGCAATATTTCTAGTTCATAAGACTGATGCTCAGAATAGATGATGCTAACACCATCAACATGAAATTGTTTCCTCATCATAAAACTCCACCGGAGGTCAAAGGGTGGCATGTGCCCGTCGCCAAGATGAAGTTCTCCGAAGTCGTCGACCCAACTTGGGACCTCACGATGCAGAAAGTCATCGCCCAAATCGATGGCGTTACAGATGTCCGACGCATTGCCCACCAGGCAGACATGTCCCTTGAGCTAACCCAGATCGCCCTTCGCCACCTACTCTACTACGACACCATCCTCCTACTCGACATGTTCTTCTTCGGGGCATGCTACGCGCCGCGGCCGGGGATCCGTGACTTTGTGACCAACGCGAATGGCATCGTCGACGAGTGCGCCAATTACGTGTGCATCCACAGCGGCCAGCGCGTGAGCAACTACCAGCTGATCAAGCTGATGATGTCCTTCTGCGTGGGGCGCACCGTCATGGAGTGGCTCAAGGGCCATATGGACTCTGGGTTCGAAGTGCTGCGCTACGTAGACGTGCGGCGGCTCGTGCAGTTCGGCGTCATCAAAGGGCTGCTGTATCGCGTCCAGAAGTACGTCGTTTCGAAGCAGTATCTCGCAGCGCTAGCCACAGGACAGGCACTGCCTAAGGCGGGAGGGGACCCGTTGCAGAAATATACTGACGGCCTACACAACTTTGACCAAATCATCACCGAGCAAAACTTGACAGATGCTGAGATCATGGAGAAGCTAAAGAACTTCCCTGGACCTACAGGGGATCTGACTGTATTCTATAGTTGAGGTGTAATCGTTATGGGTATCATGATTAGAGATTCTATTTTTACATATACATACAGTCTATATATACATATACAGTGCAGGTGATACCCTCATCCATGTGACACGAAGCTTTGCTATTGTACAGACTCTGAGCCCGCCAGCTACAATTCGATGTAGTGATGTTTACGACTCCTGAGGTGATGACTTCGAAAGCTGCTCTATCTTGTCCTCTAATTGCTGGACATTCTTCCGCTTGGGGAAGACGATCATCGGCTCAGAAGGATCATCTGGATTTGGTTCGTAGGTGCCTTCTTTCAGCGACTGAAGCTGGTCCCGTAGTTGCCGGATCTTGCCAGTGCCTGGTTGCCCTGGGTATTTCTTCCCGGATGCCTCCCACTCCTCGTCGCTCACCATTTCTATGATTCTGACATTGTGCTTGCCCTTTCGTAAGACTAGCATTTTGCCATCGATGAGAAACCTCTTAGTATCTTCAGGGAACCAAAGACCAATTGGGGTGAAGTCAAGCTGCCCAATGAGCATACCCTTGTTGACGTTTGGCTTTTGCCCAGGTGATCCGCCGATATGGGCGCCCTTTTGCTGAGCAAGTCTATGGCCATCTGATGTACTGCTGGCTAGCCCCGCAGCGTACAGAATGCGTCCAATGGATTTGCCCATAATCAAAGACTCAGGGAGCTGCATATCGACTCGAGGTGCATTGTTCAGTGTTGTTGGATGTCCCTCTACGGCAGAGTATTCTGATGTTTCGCCGGAATCTGTCACCGTGCGTTTTCCGTACATAGATCGATGTTGCTCCTGAGCGTCTCGGGCAGCTTCCTCGCCATGCACCAAGCTAACCACCTCGTAGGCAAGAAGATGCTGGGCTACACGCTTAGAAGGGTCGATGTTGTGCTCTTCCACCTTTGCATGGATCTCCTCGAGCGGGAGAAATGTGAAAAGCTTCAGTAGCTTCTCTACATCAGCATCTGGCCGCCGTACGAAGTAGCCATACAGATCAAACGTATTTGTTAACCACTTATCGAGCCACACAGCATTGCCTGCACTCTTGCCGAATTTGACCCCAGATGAGTCTGTCAGGAGGGGTACTGTGAATCCCACGGGATCATCCCACTCAGTCTCTGGGAGTTTCTCGGCCGGGTTTGGCTCATTGGCTCGGCAAATCTTGACAGTATCAATTCCTGTGACGATGTTCCCGTATTGATCAGAGCCACCAATTTGCATTTGAACTCCTCGGCTGCGGAACATGTGCCACCAATCCCAACCCTGCATGAGGGGATAGGTGAACTCGGCGAATGACATACCGTCGCCCTCGGTGAGTTTTCTTTTGACGGTGTCGCGAGACAGCATCGGCCCAATTCTGATGGAAGCACCTAGTCGCTTGAGAACCTCGAGTAATGGCGTTGAATTCCACCAGGCATTGTTATTGACTAAAGCCCGCTTCCATGCCCATTCTTTCTTGTATCCGTATTTCCTGCCCTGAGCTTCAACATTAACCCATACCTTTTTTAATTGATAGTGGATCTTGGTCATGTTCATGGTCATTGTGCTTGGCGGGATAGAATCTCGGCTCTTCAGTCTATCGGTGGGATCCCCTATCTTGGCTGTTGCTCCGCCGATCAAACTGACTGCTTGGTAGCCATGCAGATACATCCAGAACAACGGCATTAGTGGTAGCAGATGTCCAACGTGTAGTGATTGTGCGGTGGGATCTATTCCGACGTATGCTCCGATTCGTTTGCGTCGCATGAGTTCTCGGATGTGGTCTCGCTGTCTACGCTGACGTTCAGTATGAAGCAAGGCTTGTGCTGGAAAAGCCACTTACCCAGCAAGGTCTTTGATATACCCTCTCTCTTCAAAGATATCCCAGAGGTTTCGCAATTCGCCTGCTTGGATTCTCTCCGCGCGCTCGTCCCACTGGTTCTGTGCGGCATCTTGCTTAGCTAGATACTTCTGGCCAATCCACCGTCTTTGCGACCTCGCAACAATTGCTGTTTGTAGTTGGAAGCATCTGCGACAGAGCTGGCTTGAAGCTCCCATCTGGCTAGGCAGACCAACGGAAGGGCGCATAACGACTAAAGGGAGACGCAGAGAGCGTCAATACTCGAGGACTATAACATGAACGTCCTACTTTGCGATTCACAATTTGGGCTCGTGGTATGTCGTGTCGTGTGCTTGTCCACGCGCAAATTCACCAATGCGCCGGTATTTCCATGCAAGAGCTCCCAAAATTTACTGTCATTGATGGTCCGGCAGGCACTTGTTCGGTAGCTTGATTGTTCCAGCCGACCGTGGGGCGGCATCTTTCTGCCTGACATATCAGGGTTCAAGCTCGAAGCCGCACCTATTGAGCGGACCAATCACAACGGTTCCAATTCATGGATTCCCTCGGCAATCATCACTAGGTTTCTCGGAACTCTCGTGGAAAGCAAGCCGACGACTTTCTGCCTTCCGAGTAGCAGATCCTCTACCAACGCCAGATATCAATTGATTGCCAGGACACAACCTTCGCGATGGCATCGGTTGCTCGCTCGACGCTGCTACGGCAGTCTGCCCTCCTCGCCGGCCCCGTCTCACAATCTGCGGCGTCGACAACCCGGGCTGGCCCGTCCCTGATCGCTTCCGCCCGCCCAAAGTCTCTCGCGAGGCCGACCACCAGCGTTGCCCAGATTGCTGCTTTCCATGCCAGCAGCCGAAGAAACATCCTACCGCCTCTTCCTCGTAAGTACTAGGGACACGCTTGTTGTCAATCGAGGAGGAGGGACATGCTCTGACAATCCCTAGAAACCGTGCAAGGCACAGTCAACGATCCCGCGCCTGTCCCCGCCCCGTCGCCTTCACACGGCCATTACCACTGGACATTTGAGAGACTCCTCGCTGCCGGTCTGGTCCCCCTGACCGTTGCTCCGTTTGCGGCTGGCTCGCTGAACCCGACTACCGACGCCATCCTGTGCGCGGCGCTCGTCATCCACTCGCACATGGGCTTCCAATCTATCATCATCGACTACGTTCCCTCAAAGAGGTTGCCGAAGACCCGCAAGCTGTTTTGGTATGGGTTGAACGCTGCCACTGTTCTAGTCGGCATTGGCCTGTACGAATTCGAGACAACGGACGTTGGTTTGACGGAGGCTATCAAGCGGATTTGGGCAGCATGAGTGGAATCTGGTGGGCCATTGTGTCTCGATGAGGGCGTCCTTTGAAATCATTAAACCGGGTTACCGCCGGAATTGTTGGCCTTCACAGGTGCCAATGTTGTTATACTAAGTTATATAGGTCAATTGAACGGATGAGATCAGGTGTCACCTGGTATAGAAGAATGACTTTATCGATATTACTTCAAAAAGTTGGCTCGGAAATCCCTGTTTCTGCGAAAGGGCATCGCACTTCAGTGATAATCGTTAATTCATTACATGCTCATTACTGGTATCAAATGATTTGTACATGCAAAAATATTGAAGCATCCAACAACACCGAAAACGCCTTCTCCCCGCCCGGCCCCATTGAAGGGTATCACCTCTTATGCACAACACCACTGACCGATTTAGAAGGTTCCTCGATAACATTTACGGCGATTCAAGCTCTGCGAGCATTTGCTCCAAGTTTGCCGTTCGCAATGGTGTTTCCAACTCCGCAGGGTCGAACCCACCCTCTAGACGTGGGGATTGGAAAGGGGTCAAAGGATTGCAGCGCAGCGGATCGATCATGCGGGGAGAGCTGTCCCCACAAACTTCATGGAACCTCTTCTCTTTATGCTCCACGTACAGCTCGAATGGGCCTCGAATCTGGCCTCGAATGCTCGGCAGCTTGTCCTTCGGCGGCACGGCAGGCGGCCGAATCCTAGCCCTCCTCCGCCTCCGCCGAAGCCATAACACAAAGGTAACGATGCCCGCGATGAGTAATGCCAACGCAGCGGACCCGACTCCAATGCCTGCAGCTGCTGAGATGCTTACGCTACCGTTGCTCTTGCTTTGCTTTACGGATTGCGTTACTGGTGACTGCATGGTGGAAGCTTGCCTCGTCGGTGCAGGGATAACCAAGGTCGTGGAATGTCCGTTCCGAAACGAAGGCGACGCAGTCTTGAGAGGCCAATTAGTTTCATGGCTACTCCCCAAATTATTCGCCTCACTTACAGCAGTATCCAGACTTGATAGAGCATATGATGCGGGCGTTGAAAGGCTGGCTAGATCGCTCGACTGAAGCCTGACTTCGATGCTATGAGCTCCAATGCCACTACCAGCACTCTCCAGAGCAGAAGCCACGGGATATGTGTTCCCATCGGACACAGCCGTTACTTGCACCACAACCCACGGCTTGTCGAATGTCGTTGTGCATCCAAGAAAGGGCTTAGATGCGAGAGCAGTCGCCGCACAAGAGTAGTCAACGGCACTATCATCATCTCAGCCATGAACGACAATCAATGCTCTCATGAAAAGCACTCACGTTGGACAGCATGTATAAGCGGTCTCTGTCGAGGTCCCGAATGCATAGAGGTTTGAGCAAGCCGCTGTGTAACCGCCTGGGCAGACGCCGGGTGAGTAGTAGCGCTCAGTAGAATAGCCGCTGGGGTAGCAAGAGCGGTTATCGAGGAGCGGCCCTTGTTGGTAGGAGTGGCTGTCATTGTGGTTCCAGATCTGATAGACGCCTGTGGCCGTTGCGCAGCTACTCGGGGCCGTAAATGTTGTCGTTAACGGTCCCGCGTTGGTCAAAGCCATTCCATGCACAGTAGAACATCAACCCATCTCCAGAGAGAAAGAGGTTTCATGAACAGAAAACAGTTCATGTTGGGGGCGAGCGGGCATTGACAAGCTTCATATTGGAATTCTGACAAGCCTCCCCAAGCTGTTGAGAGTGTTGCTTCCGTGACTTCCTCGTCTCTGCTGGCCGCATAATAGGCTGCTGTTGGTTCACTAACACATCCTCTCCGAGGATCAACGACTCAGAGCCTAGGACTCCCCGCAGGCCCCAAGTTGGTGACTTAGTATTGCATCCATCGCGGGCAAAGTCACCCCAAAGCAGACGCGTTTCTTGAGCTAGTTGGCAGCAAGATGCAGGAGCTGGGTTGATCAGCAAGCAGCACCATACCTGTTTTGAAATGCTGTGCTGAGCCCGTTACACTGATTCGATCAACCTAGACGAGACAGCCGCGCTGTCTAAGATCTGGGATTCCAATGATGAATAGATCTATGCATGGCCGCATTTATCAGGGATTTGCTCCGGGAGAAAATGATGGTCATGGCCTGCCAAGTCATGTCGTGATGTGAATTGAGGCTGGTTGCAGGAGGACAACCTTGAGGTCAATCACGGGTTGAGAGCCGCAAGGCCGCTGTAAATTAGTAGTGCTTGACCAATCGCGTGTTGTACCGGCATGATCCCTGGCAACGCCGGGCGGCTATCTCAGCTCCTGACTTACGCGCCGGCGACGCCTGTCTCACATTGTTGCATTTCTTGAAATCTGGATGGATGATAATGATCCTTCGTGCAGAGGTGGATTCGTAGCTACTAGATGGTGCATGGAAAGCTATCACGCTAGGTCGATTCAGCCAACGTGCCGACCCGGGAATGCGGTCGCATGTAAATCGACTCTCTCGGGCCATGTAAGGCAGACTTTGGTACAATACATTAAGTGTAGGCTGTGTGAGATTGCTAAGAGTGACTTGATGCAATGAAGGCCTGTATTATCAACTCGTTCTAATAAGTGTTCATAGCTTTTCGGATCTCAACGTTGACTTTCATCGATACCTGTAGGTGTAACGTCTCGCTTCCCGAACCTTGCTCCCAGCCCACCAATATCCCTGCGGAAGAACTTGCCAAAGTTCTTGAGGTTCTCATTGATGGTAGCATTCTGCGCAGGAGTGGCCCCTGGTCCGGCCGCAGCGCCTGCACCCGCTCCGGTCCCAAGCCTGTCGACCCCATCACGAGCTGCGCTGAGCAGCTTCTCGCCAAGAGAAGCTGGGTCAAACCTGGTCTGCCCCGCAACTCCCGTAGCCCCGGCGAGTGCTCCTGCTGGGTTGCTTATTCCAAGCCCCGTGCTGCCCAAACCAGCAGTCGACATGAGCGGTGTCAGAAGCGGTGAGTTTTGTACAAGCTGCTTGTCATTACCGGCTCCGTCACGATGGATAGCAAACAGCTCCAGAAGATGGTTCTGGTCTTGCTTACGAATGCCCTTGAGTTCAAGAATCTTCTTGAAATTTGTATCAGAGCGATCTCCGATATGAATCAAGTAGGCCTGGACTAGACCTTCGGGCGGTGATGGCCGCACTTGCAGTGTCTTCAATAGCGGGTCAACCCTCGTCATGCTATGATTTACACGTTTGAGGAAACCAGCTGGTGGATTATGTGGTTCTGAGGTAGAAGGGTTGTGATATGAAAGGAGCTTTTCAAAGTCCTTTGTGAGAGTATACTTGTCAAGCAGCATCTGGACAAGTCAGTATGAGAATATGGGCGGTTGGTTCGGAGGAGTCTGAAGACATACCTGTTCAGCACCGCCCTCGGAAATGGGACGACATTGTACTACGTTGTTGATATAGGCTGTGGCCATATGCTCTACAAGGTTGTCGCAGAATGCTCTGGCATATTGTTGCTTGACAATAAGGGGTAGGATCTCCTCCGTTCTCCCGTTGACATGCTTCAGCACTTCGCTCACATACGAGCTGTGATCGGTGACGCTCTCCATCCTGCTCCAGTTGGTGTTCCTCATTTCTCTCCATGCCCCCTCGCAGTCAACTTCCACCTTGTGAACGGCAGCTAATACGGCGGCACTTGCAACGCCCAGGAAGGCATCAGCCTGAGACGATAGGTCGACTTTGGATGCTAGTTCAGCATCGATTCTTTTCTTGATATTTTCTTCAAGTTGCGTGGTGTTGATATGCCAAAAATCGGCAGTATTCAGCACTAATATTATATCCTGCACAGGAGGACCGGGTTGACCGCCTTTCTGCAGAAATCCAAGCAAGACTTGCTGAGCGTACTCGTCCAAGTACTTCGCCAAAGTCTTGGCTAGATCAAGCAGTCGCTCTCCGGTAGATAGTTTCGCACACTGCGAGAGCGTAATCTTATAGAAGTGGAATAGTTCTATGGCTGATGGTATGACAGCCTGTGAGGAGAACTCTTCATCTTCGGCGAGCAAAGGTTGATTCTTATACTTTGGTATCATTGTAGCCAAAGCCTTATCCTGGGATTCAACCCAGAGGCTTAAATACGGCTCGAACGCAACAGAAATGGAGCCGTTGAAGTTCTGAGTTCGGTCATCTGCTGAGCTGAGCGTGTCAATGCTCGCCCGCGGCAACTCGCTTGTGAATCGCTTTTCGAGGCCCTGCTCAAAGTCCATGGTCTCCTGGAGGCAGCTCAGAAGTAAGTTCACATCGATCTTATTGCCGTCCGCTCGTCGCATACTCTTCTCCAAGATGCCCTTGAAATCTTCTCTCGTACCATCGCAAAACGCCATGGCCAGCATCTCATTCACCCTCCAATGTGGGGGAAATATCATGATGTGCTCGTCCTCGTGCGTTTTCAACATCCGCTTGAACCACGCATATCGTCTCCCGATGTTATCCAGGCTACCAGCCTCGTCATTGCCCCGGAACACTTGCCGGTACTCCCTCAGCTCCGTGTTGACATACCACGTCACCAATCTCGACCGAGCACTGTCTCCCAGAGCATCCATCACCAGGCAAGCCTCAATCAGCATATTCCGTCTTAAACCGACCTCGCTCTTGGCAAATGCCATCTCAAAGTCCTCGCACACCTGCTCCAGCAGCTCGCGCTGTAGATCTGCCACATTGCGACTCAGGACGGCAATTTGCTCTATGCTCCGGTAGCTGTTGAAGTGACGCATGAGCTGCAGCACGGCCTGCAGCAGACCGGCGCACTCGCGATACTGCCGTGTCCGCGCCAGGCCACGCAGCTGCTCGTAGGCGGTGGTCAGCATCTGAAGGCGCTTGAGTGCGGTCATGGACAGCGTCAGGTTGCGCTTGGTGCCGTCGAGCCGCTTGATGTCGGCGGTCATGGTGGTGATGTCGCGCTCCGTCTGCAGGGCGCGGCTGCGGACGTTCTCGATGCGCCGGAACAGGGAGGCCAGCTCTTGTTGAGCGGACTGCATCCGCTCGAGCGACGAGTCGGGCCCGTAGGCCTGGGCGGCCTCGAGGGAGGAGATCTCATAGGAAAGATCATCCTTATGAGACTGGATCTTGTCGGACACGCGACTGACGGAGGTGACTGTGGACGGGTGGGAGAATAGGAGGTTTAGGTGGTCTATAGGGTCATAGTCCACTGAGTAGCTTGGATTAGCTGGGTGGAACAAGACGACACATTGGCTCTTTGGAACATACCTGCATCGAGAGATGGCGGCACTGCAATACTGGTACCGTTCATCTTAAGTGATCCAATGCGGACTCTCGGGCATTTGCAATGGGAGTGCTCAGGGACGAGACATGTTGGAGCTACTAAGCTTACCGTGCTACGGGTGAACAAAGCGCCAGCTGCAGCTTCAGCTCAGTGGCTGTCGTCGCCTGCCGAGAACGGAATCACGTGTCGCTTAGCTTCCGTTCCCAGCTGTGGGGCCGCTTCACAACGGTTATGGCGGCCAGAGCCGAGCCAATTGCAGGCGACCGCCACACCGCTTTGGAGGATCTCCAATACAAGTCACGTTGCCTAATACCGTGCTGGAACTCTCTCAAAAACGGAGCTGGAAAGGTGTCTTTCCCAAACGATATCATGAAATGTGGTGAACTACCTAGTACCCAAGCTGAGAGTGCTGATGAAGGGGCTGTGATCTCCGAAGGAACACATCTCCTGACAGGCCAGATCGTTTAAAGGCCTGCGCACCCTGATGGGTTACCTGGGTAGCTAGATAGCTTACCACGCATGCAGTGTCCCGCGGAAAGACCCCGTTGGTTTAAGCATCAGAAGAGTCAAAGACACGACGGAAGATTAATGCACGCTGTGCCTTGCTATGCCGTCATTTTCAGGGTAGCACGCCGTTCTAGTGTTTCTAGAGCTGCAAGGCCAATCTCTGAAAGTGGCCCCAGCTGCGTCCTGTACGAAATGTGGCAGGTTGGCTCGGTTGGGTTGCCCTCGGCTACGTTGGCAGCATTCAATTGGAAGGACGATAGGAGATTTCAGTATGAGACACGGTTGGAGTGTGGGGGAGCTGCTGCCAGATATTGGGCCTGGATCGATTTGTCTTGAGTGCTAAACCGCCAATCTCTGATGCTGTCTATATCATGCCGTAATAAGAATGCGCTCCGGGGTTAGTCGTCCTCTTTTTTTTCTGGTCTCTAGGTATCATGGAAAAAATCTTTCGATGCAGCCTACCCACCAAACCAATCGATGCCCGTAAATGCAGAAATGAAATATGCTGAACCACCGTGCCTTTCCAACATGCATAATGTTTCTCGCTCTGGAGTAAAAACAGACACGAACGCCGGGCCACTAAATGGCCCCCCTAGAGCCGACTTTTATGCAAAACATAGCTATTGGTCTTCCCGCGGATGAACAGGAACGTGGTCTACCGTCCCTGGTCCGGTCGCGAGGTTTGAACTTAGCCGCTGCGAGAACGCTTGCGCCCAGGCAACATGAGAAAAAATAAGGACGAAAGTAATATCTCTCAAGAGCTGTGTAATGCTCGGAACCCGGCCGCTATTAGACTTCGTTTACTGTCTCTGGCGTCTGCCGGTCCGGACCAATAAAAGAGGCCCTATTTTAAGACGCATCAGCCACCAGCTGTAAGCAATCAGCGGTCGAGATCTGGAACTTACACCGAGGCCTTTCTGCTTGCAGAAGGCGGCTTTCATCTTGACTGTCTCCGGGTTGTCATACGTCACAAATCCGCCGTCTCCACCGACACATTGCGCCGCAACAACACGCTTGTCGACCTGCTCTTTGGTACCCTTTCGGGGTAGCTGATTATAGTCGAAAGAGCCGTCATTGCCTCCCGCGCCTTTGAACTTGTGGCCCGGCCCGGTGGTGTTCAAGAAGCTACGGCCAAAGACTGGAACGCCTAGAAGAATCTTCCTGGCCGGAAAACCTTGCGCCATGAGGTACTGCACACCTGAAGACCCGGATGTCTCATCCTTGCCTACGGCATATAGCTGCGCTTGGTGTCCCGCTTTCTGCGTCCACGGGCCGAAAAAGTCGTACGCCATCAAATTTATGAAGTCGACATAATCCGCGGCCCGACGCAAGTCAATGTTTTGTAATACAGCCTTGCCTGCAGGCAGCGCGGCGGTGAGCAAGTAATGCTCCTCAGGAAGGTGAATACGGATCGCAGCAAGGAGTGCCAGGAAATCAGCCCCTTGATGCGGGTCGCAGGGATATTCCCAATCAACTTCGCAAATCCACGTCAGTACAGCATATCCAGATGGCAGGGAATGATTGGAGGAGTCGCACTGTCTATGCCATCCAGGCCTGATGCTTCAACCAGCCCACGGGCCGATCGCGCGAAATTGTCTCGCAGTATGGTGTCTGACGCCACGATCGGGAACGTCTCACTAGATTGACCTCCGCCGATAGAAAGGATAACTTGCAAGTGAGGGTGCGTTTGCTTCAGATGCATTAACGATCCCAATCCTCCCAAAACACCATCACATGGCGCTCTTGCGTCCGCATACTCGTCGCTCAACTTGCAAATATCAGTAATTGGGGGTGGTTTATTGAGAGGCTTGATGAGAAACTTACAAACACCCCTCCATCTGGCGCGACATTGGCAAAGCAGTAGTAGACGTGACTAATGCAGCTATAATTCATAGCGCCCGGGGTGTCCCCATTATATATTCTGTAATTCGGAAAATAGACAGCGTTTGTGAACATGACATTTGAGAGGCTGGTCGCCTTGCGCGACTTGCGCGAAGATGATGAAGAACTCATGATGTTCGTCTTCTATGTAGAGATGGGTCGTAAGGTTGGGAACATGACCCAGTGAGTCACTTCATGTAGATTCGGCGAGAAGAGTATAAGAAGATGCTAAAGAGAGGATCGCGCCAACACATGTTGGCGTGGTGGATGGTCGCGTCGGGCAGCAAATCGCAAGACTAGTGCCTCTTTGTAGGGCTCCTCGTCGTTTTATACAAACGCGGACGGGATAGGAGGAGAAGGAAGGGAGAGACAGAAGCAACACGGTGAGCGACGGTGGTGGAGACAGGAGGCGGGTATCAAAATAAGAAGCCCCAGGGTCTGAAGATGCCATGTCGACGCATGACATAATGCTGTCAGGGGGTGCCATTTGTTGAACTAGGAGATACCCGACAGGGGAGGGCAAAGGACGGATGAAAGAGTATCTATCAAGCAGTATGCGGACGGGAGGTATGGGCTTCGAAAAGTAACGTGTCGCCTTAAGTTTGATTAGCTGCCTGTGAGAGGAGCAGATGGAGCGCACGACTTGGTGGGGTGTCCCTGGCGGCAGTTTCGACGATCCTCAGCGTTGGCGGACTCGGATATGCTCCATGGCCGCCAAATTTTTCGCAGCCGAGCTCCGTCTTGGTATCTTCCCACGGCAATCTGTAATAAGTAATTATTGAACCCCAACCGTCCCGGTGCAGCTTGCAAGAACCGCATAGCTTCAGCGCGGCAAGTACATTAACAGAAAGCTGACCCTCTATATATGGAGGCGGCTCATCGCGCCAAGGGATAGAGACTCTCGGAAGAATAGACTTGGTACACAAAGGCACGAGAACGGCGGCTTTGTGAGAGAGTTGCAATCCTGAGCGCTACGTGAAGCAATCTGCGCAGTAGTCGGACCGGGTTGCCGAGGGCTTTTGGTGCGAAAAGGGGAGTGTTCGACGCGTATGAGAGAGTTTCAGCATCTGGGGTAGGCTTCCATTCTTTCGCAACCCAACGCATCCCATCCTATCCCGTCCAACTTGTTGATACGGGTCGCCGGAATTTTCCAAGAAGCTAGGCAACTCAAATTAGTCTGAATCGAGCAGGGTCCGCATCCATGACTAAGAAGGCTTCCCCTTGCGGGAAGTATCTCCAAGATGAGCCCTCCATGTTGAAATGAAACCGCCGTGATCACAAGCTGGGATGGTGCCGGCACAAAGACCACGTTGGCGGATGTTTTCAGTACCTGAGTGCCTACGTCAGTCGGGAACCCACGCGGTGCACCCTTGTAGTTTTGGGCTAGCCTGATGCCATTAGGCGAAGGACGGGTCGGCCTCTGAGTAGGGCCAGGACAGGCGGGCGAATGAGGAATTAGAAGAGCGTTCTATCTCACCAGTCACCACATGGCAGGACATCGACCGTAAGATACCTGCTACTGCAAGCTTGAAACGGATGACCCTGGGCGCCTTAGCTTTCCAGAACAATTCTGTGCGGTACCATACCATAGTCAATCAGTCGGCCGTCTGAGCTTCCACCAACCTCCCCCAAGAGGCGTCAATAATTCAACACGAGGAACCCCTTAGGATATCTTGGTTTATCCCTCGGATGGGACTTTCGAGGAGTGGAACAATCAGATACGACTGACCATTGATAGGTCTCGCGCTGATCACGTATGGGACTGACTCGGGCTAATTGCCAGGAGGGAAGTTCGTCAAGGAGTAGCTTGAGCATTCAGGTTTGCTGGTTCGGCTGCAAAGGGAGAGGGAGACGATCGCCGTACAATGTCTCCCCATGCTGGGGGACGTCAAGGTTTCAACTGGATTAAAGGAGACGCTCGGGCCGATCCAAAGATCCATTGCAACGTCTGCAGGCCTCAAAGTTTGGGTCCTTGTCTGCGGAGATGGCCCCCGCGCAGCCCGTGGTTGATTGTATAACTCCCTCCGTGTCTACGCCACAGACTGAAAAGCTGGCCAACTGAGGAGAACTAAGCGTGGGGATATGGGGACATCGATTGCAGAGCCGTCGCAAAGGTCGTTGGATGTCTGATCAAAGTACATTGGCCAGATTGAACGGCAAGGTCGAATTTCTTGCGTGTATAAGGTCTCTCTCTCGTTACTTTAATCAGCCACTCATCAAGCCACAACGCGCGCTCGTGTCTGGATAGTTCCTTCCCGCTCTGTGAACTTACAGCTAGTTGCCCCTTTCGACGACTTGATGTCCCCATCTGCAAGGTCGCTCTTTCCGTGTAATCCTTACAGCTCATTCTTGTCTTGTCTTTTTGGAATTCAACAAATCAACAAATAAAAACAAGGTCTAAATTCTCTCTTCTCTATGGATTTCGTTCGCCGACGTTTCACCGCGGACTTGATGCCGTGAGGACATCCCCTGAACGCCGGCTCATATTGTCTATAATACAATGAACAAGAGTCACAATTGCGCCTATGACCCATACTGTCCGCATCGCCTTACACATCACTTGATAGGATCTTGCGACCTTGCGCACAGTCAGCGATGGAGTTGTACTGTCGATAGGAAGCACCGGCATTGGCCTAGTT